AAGTAATTGTTATTGGAATTAGCATGAAATAGAACAGGCCTTTGTTGCTATGGCACAACGATTGGTAGCCACATCTTGCAGATGCTGATGGAATATCGTATGATCATTTTTGCGTACCAGTTATTGCACTGCTACACATATGACCGTCGTGATGCCCCATCAGCATCAGCACGGTCATCTTTAGCGGCAGTAGTCGCCAACTCTGGCCCATTATCACTAGCAGTACGGCTGTTATATTTCTTTCTTATCCTCTGTGGTATGGCTCCAAAACCCAGCAACTACTTCAACAACAATTTAACGGCAATCCCTCGTTAGATCGTCGAGATCAGCGTCTTTTATAGCATTCTTCAAAAATGACAGACATTTGTATGAACGTTACACTACGTTACTACATAGAAGATATCGTTATTAAAAGATGGTAGATAACGACGTAACTCAGGGGAAAAAACGGTACATAAAATACATAGCGAACTTATAGGGCGCAACAGCGCCAAATAGCGCTGAAAATGGAAAAGAACGCCACAAAGATGTGGCCGAGCGTCCAACCACCTCGGAACAGTAAAAGCCGTCGTTTAGCATTCACTCTTGCACTGCTCTTTACTTCCGGTGGTAATTCTGCCTACCATCGGTGTGGTGGGCGTCGACAACGGGAACAACGACCAGGCAAAAGTTCACAATCGAAGCGCGGCCGATCCGCTCAGTCGGATGGTCGGTTAGTCAGACCTAGAGCAGCAACCCTAGCGATGCTGCAGTGCAGGATTTAGCCCTCGTCATAATCTTGTCCATATTTACCTGCCTTGAATAGATTCTCCGGCTAGAGACGACTACCTTTCTACTGCTGCTAATGTCGTCGTTGTTGTTGTTCCTGATGTAGAATGGCGACATATGTGACAGTGTGTGCGCCATGTCTCGTGCTGATTGTTAGTAAGCATTCGTCGATGGATTCGTGGCTGCTTCGTTTCATCGTTTGTTGAAAACGTCACGAATGAGCGCGATAACTATGTGCCAATGGGTAAAGAAGCGAAAAATTGATGCAGAGAACGTGCACGCTTGCACAAACACATGTTAGGTGAAGCAGCAGCAGAAGCCGTGGTCACAAATGTATCAACTGATCCCCATGGTGATCATCTTGCTGCGACTAACGCCTTTTCCCGCCAAGTTTTTAGGTCAGGGGCAGATAAGCGGCGAGGCGGTGCTACGCAGTAATCTTTTTCAGCGAGAAATGAGATGGCAAGCGAAACGTCGAACAACAGGTTCTACTCGGTAGAAGCATCTTGTCAGTCTGTTGCTGGTAAAATCGCGTTTTTCAGAAGCGATTTCGTGCCCGTGTAGTTGCTGTTCTGCCAAGAAAGTAGCTAGCGTCAGTGTTTCTCAGTTACAGCAATAGTAGTTGCGGTGTCGGCAACAGAAGCGGAAGAAGATCGACTTTGTTCATGTATGTCAATGAAGAATTGATGGAGCCCGTTTTACGTCGCCCGCCGTTTCCTTATGGCATTCAAAGACGTAAAATCAGATTTTCCGTTACGTTATCGAACGTACCAGCGATGCAGTACCATAACGACATGAAGAGGTGCCAAGTTCGACCACAAGGGCGCGGGAGGCCAAAAACAAAAAAAAAATTCTTAGAAAAACCTTCCAAGTCATTAAATAAATAGTATACTTTATTACAAGATGTCAAACTGACACTTCGACAACGGCCCGTGGCTACAGGGCAAACAATATATAATGGTGTTTTACTAATCGCACAAACTTATATTGAGGGTAGGCATTGGTAGGCTGGCTAAGAAGAACTACTGCTGGATTGACATCGTACGTGCGTCTGGTAAATGACGTGACCCCCGGTTCGGTTCGATTCGAGACAATGCTCAAACGGAACAAAACAAACGCCTTCAGGTGCAACTTTTAACACTGTATTTACCCGATTCGTACCGATATAACTTATTTAATAAATCCGTGGACTAGCATAGTACAAGTAACGTGCAAAATAGGAGCATGGAAGTAACAGCTCGTACCCTTGCTGACACAGTATTATAAGAGCAAAAATACACTATCTCTCTCTGAAGATAAATAGAATGTCTCTTCGTTTCATTGAGCCTATCACTGATAATTCACACAAAATCAGGCTAGAATCTAGTATATTTTTTCCGCCGCCACTGCAAAGATGGGTCTAGGAGAACACATACCTGAAAAATGAAACGACAATGTAACAATAACCGTGTGATTTGTGATTTTCTTTTGAAATTTGAAAAATCGCGCTGTGACTAAAGGCTGCTCAAGTAGCTTATTTTATTTCAGCAAAATGTGGAAGAGCAATCAGACTTTCGATGAGTAGAATTCTGGAACGAATTACTCGGTTGACTCCATTGTCTCGGTATCGAATAGGCAACTGTGAAGAACTCGTATTTGGTATCGCTTCCGTTGTTACGGGCATTGTGTTTGAAGAAACGCTCTGACACCTACGGACAACAGCTCTTGTAGCAGAAAATGTTTCTAGCGAATCGATGTTCCTTGTGGGTCACAGTGATTCGCGAGTAATTCGTTAGGTGGCACTTCTCCAGAGCAGTTATAACATTTTTGTTATCTTCAGACCTATTTACAGGCATATATATATATAGCGTTGACTGACTCCAAACTAACTGTATGTGCGTATTTTGTGTGCCGCATGCACTTTAGTCAACGGAAGACTTGCCTAAAGTATACGATCGCCTTATACACATGGTTTAATCGCTACCAAGGAGGACCAGAGATAGACCAAGCAAGAGGATGGTATCGCCCTGAAAAGAGTTTCTATAAAGTTCCCTTTACCGCCTTATTACTTACCGCATTATTCCGCTTAAGATACTTTTTGATAGATTTACCGAGTATTTTGTATGCTTTTGGGGACGTTTGAATTTCTTATCTTTCACGTTACCCTTTATGACCACGTCTGTTATGAGCGCATAAGCAGAATCTCCCAATACCAACCTGGCGGTGTGCAAGATTGGTAGCCTGCAGCGACGAGTAGCCGGATGCATTATCTATCTATCGCTAAACGATCTGATACACTCCATAGCTTAACCTTAACGGTGCTGATTATAATCCTTTGTTTGCCAGAGAATGTCTGTGGAGACGCAATAAATTGATTCGTTTGATTCATTGAGAGCACAGCTACAAAAAAGAAATGTGATATTAACAAAAAGAAGAGGAACAGTAAAGATAGCGAAATTCTAGTCTTTGCTAGAAAGTATTCTGCAGATTGCATATAACTAGACACACCACGAAAAAGCTCCTGAAAACTTTTTTTTACTTCGATGCAACATAAAAGCATTTCTTTGGCAAAATACTTATGAAATTTAATCATATGAATTGATTTCCCAGGCGGCAGAGCAACTCCAGTCTTGAAATCTATGAAACCAAAGCAGATCGCATGCCAAATACGAAAATACGAAGCTTTATCTAAGGCAAGTAGAAAAAATCGACACCGACGCGCTTACAACAGTCTTATATTTTCTTCAAGCTCTTAAAAAGTCCTCTTGGACGTATCTTACAAATACAAAAACAGTTTATTGAGGTAAGCATGACAACCGGTTCATATTAAAAACCTCTTTGTCAAGAGATCCTCCAAAAGAAAGTTATTTATTCTTCTAAGCTATATCTGTGAGGCAAGGGAATCACCCGCTGGGTGATTCCCTTTCCTAGTAATAACGATCGTACTCAATTAGATCATAGAAATCTGCGCAAAGTAACCCAGCCGCTCTCTTGTTTTAATTTTTGAAGCCTCAGCACGTAGAATTTCTTGAGTGCACGTATGGGTACCCATTTTGCCAACGATATTTAAGTAGTTTTGTTGCTCCACTCAGGCCGATGGAAGAAGAACGTAGCCGAACCTCTATTTTATTTCTAATAAAATTTTTCTCTATTTTCATTTCTGTGCCAAAATTGTGATTAATTTCAGAACAACTATCTGGCGGCGTTAAAACTGACAGAGAAGTCGATGAATATGTTCGAATAAAGAAACATGTTTCAACTACACGATAAATGCGATCAATTCTCTGGGTAACGTCATCAATTGTCTCTCGATTCACGGCAGATGTGGGGGTACGAGACGCAGTCAGGTGGCTTTTACTCTAAAAAAAAAATGGAAATAAGCTAAGCAGTGGCAGATGATTTTTTTTTTAATGTTTTTGTTTGTAGTAAGTGATTTCGTTTTTGGTGATTGCGAACAAGGAGAAACCGACTACAGTCTCAATCATTTCTAACTTTAAGGGGCTCTATTTTTGTCATAAAATTTGAGGTAGCTGACACCTCAAGCTCGCTATTTTTAAAGAAACATCTTTCCTTGTGCCTCTGTTTTTAGACGGCCGCTAATAACACCGCCTCGTTAAGTGAAGCAGAATTTCCTCGACAACCGTAGAAAGTTTAAATTTTACTTTTTTATTTACAGGGTGGTCAAAAATTCCTTAAACTTTTTATCCAGTCGTCACGAAAAGGACAGTTTATGCCGTGTCGAATAAACCTACAGAGAACCCGTATTTAGACAAAACATCTAATTTAGTAAATAAATATATTGTTTGTTGGAAATTCCAGTAACTAAAGAGAAAGAGGTGGTCATAGCACGCGCTGAAAGAATTTAATCAAGTCAGGTAGACTGTTTTTCTTAGAAATTTTTATACGTTACTAATTTGACAATATTGAAGCTATAAAAAAACTATTTATATACGTGATAGTTGCTTTTGGTTAAATTTATAATTTAATTCAATAGCCTCCTAATTTCAGGAAACCAGTTTCAAAAATCTTACATAAGCCTCTATTGGCACAGGTCTCTGTTTTAGAACGAATAAATGTTGAAAAAATGTTTTTGAGTGCTAAAATGAAGGAAGTACGTATAAATCAAAATTAGTATTTCAACAAAGACAGAAGCTTCTAACAAGCAATTGAAACTGCCGCGTCACTAGCGATTAGCGCTGTTAATAGCTAGCTGTATCTGCCAGTTTTATGGTTTAAAAGAATCATAGATACAGTAAGATTGCAAATAGATTTTTGTTTATTTTTTATCAAGCTCCTGTTTTACAACGTCGTGTGGGACAAGTCATCAGTTCTATCGCATCGCATGACGGAAACAAGCAACTATTATCTTTGAAATTTTGGACTTGGTGAACTCCATTCAGTGCGCAAACACCCAGAATATTTAGACCTATAATGTGTAATAAAAAGATATTGTGTTCCAAGTATATGTCGATCTTCGAAATAGAATGAAGCCTAGTCGATGCAGACATAGAAAAATGTTGCGGATCAATATTTAATACATCTCAATAGTGAAATTTATTCTCCCTTTTTCAAGATCTCAATGAACTGTATTTAAACATATAAGCATAAATACCGTATCGGTTGAGAAAGACTGCGATCAACCAAGAACCACATGACGCTTTCATGTAACATAACAGCAAGAAAAGCATCAATATCAATTACAAAATTACTAAATTAGTAATTTTAAACGGAATATTTAGTGCTCTTCGATGCACTTTTTTTGCCTGTCGAATTAAGGAAGAACTACGTCTCTCTCAGTATAGTAGAGAATCTTTGGAACTGGATCATATAAAGAAAAGTTTTGGTTAGTTCAATTACTATGAAATTATGCTGGATCCCGCAATGAGTACATACTTCAATTTCGACTTAACAATTTACTATTGAGCTTCTAGTAGACTACTACAATATAAACAAAACACAATTGTAACTGGGAATCAAGTATCACGCAACATAGAGATGACAATTTGGATTTTTTGGATATCTTGCGACATGCAGATTAAAATAAATCACGGTAAAATTTTGGGTGGTGCGTATTTTCCACATTTTCATTGCACCAAAACGACAATGTCTGTATTATGCGTCTACCATAAATAAAAATAAGGTTCCTGTACATAGCTATATTACACGAGGTTTCTTCCGCCACAGCCGCGAAATGTAGAGGACTCACGTCGCTTTCGCTTGCTCCTGCTTGAGGAATTAAGTTCCATCTTCCTTCTAAAAAAAGATATGCTTTTTAGTTCATCTAGAGACGTAAAATAATGTAATCGCATTTTTTTAAAGCTATAGTGTATATACAGAATAACCGTTTGTTGAGGCACCAATAAAACCAAAATTCTGCATGACTCCAAAAAGAATTAAAGATTCAAGAGCAAAGAGACATTCTACCACTTATGCTTTTCGTTTTGTGTTTTTATGTATTTTTTTTTATGTACAAGGACATCTTTTAAAATTAACACTTTTATAGAATACGTTTTGTTGTCAAACGGCATACTCCAATAAACAGCAACTCTACTGCTCGTATATCACAAGCAACTAAGAAGTCACGTAATTAGCGTACTTTCAAGTCGGAGTCTTCGTTGTTATCTCGAGCGACACAATCTGATGTCTCGGGAGCCGTAGAGTTTTCGTTCGGAAGAACTCGACACGTGTGGCTGTTTCGATGTTCTATTGAGTCATCACCCTCTTTGCCATTCTTGGCATTTACTTTTTTCGACTTGCCCTCATTACTCGTAAAGTTACTTAAGGCCTAAGAACATTCAAGATAGGCAGGAATTCTTAGATATTTTTTTGTGGAACTTATATAAGTTGGAACCTCCCAGTCTGTCCAAGTGGTATATATAATTTGAGATTTTCTTGTCCTACATATATTTTCATGTTATAGAATTTCACTTTAAACTCTGATTTTCAAGAAAATGTATCGCTTTTGAAACTAACAATGCCAGCACTTCATGAAACAAATATTGCGAGGTAAACACCACAGGAACATAAGTCAAACTTATATTGAAAGATTAAAAGTCAAGAGAACAACGAAATCAACCTAAAACAAAATACCTCAAAATAGATAGAAAAATTAAGATGAGGTTTAGATTTCTTATTTTCATGTCGATCATATTTTCTCGTTAATGTACTATTTTTTTGTTTATCATTTTTCTGAATTGTTTTTCCAAGATTCGTTTGTTTTACAGCAGTTATAATTGCATCTCCTGGAACCGAATATTTTTTTTAATAGTTTTCAATTTTTTGTCCCATAGTCACACAATATCTTTGTTTTATAAAATACCTATATTGTCACTTTTTAAAAAATAGGGGCATCTATTCTAGCATTCGAACTTAAGCTCCAATACTGTCCTTGGCACGACACGGTAAGATTAGCCTTGTAGAACCAAGTACTACCTTATGCTATGTTTTCAAGGACGGCACCTAATTTATGTGTATATAAAATTCTGGAACCTGCTCTATTTTATTTTGCTACAAACTATAGCCCGTCATGTCTTCCTAGACAAACGCTGCTAGATATTACCTTGGCGACTTGGACGGAATTGAATTGCTCCGGATTGTACTTCTTGAAACGAGCAAAATGTGGCAGCAGAGAAATACAACAGACTTTCTGCAAAATATCAATATTTATAACAAGCTCAGGCTCTTTCAGCTCAGGGACAAAATCGCAATTCCATTCTTGGACCTGAAATAGCGGGTAGTAATTTTCTATGAGCGTGTCTGTGTATGTTGAAACCACAAAAAAAATAGGAATGAAGAATTAATATGCACTGTTTATTTGTAATTACATTGAAACCACTAGAGAAAAGCAAAGTTTCTTGGCGGTATTAGTTAAAGCCGAAAACACAGCTCACATCAAATTCATTCATCATTAAACTATTAAATTTTTGAAAAAGCATTAACCGTTTTTCTAGCTAGATAGCTTCAAAGCTACTTTTCTTAGATAATATGAGTCACGACGAGTCATGATGTTATTTGAAAGCCGAAATTTTGACCAAAGTCGGCGTGCTGAAATTGTTGGAAAGCTTTTATTTGAACCTAAAGGAAATACGAACTTGTTGACCAAAGTAAGATATTATTAACGTAGCATTAAAATGGTTTCATTGCATTAATTTAAATCTGATTTGGTCTGACAGCAAATTGCGACTGAATGCCGCTATTATTGGCTGCGTTTTCTTCGAATAATTAAGTGACAAAAATACATCGAAGAGGCTTAATACCAAGTGGAAGTTACGCAGAATATGGTTAAAGGGTTTCTTACTTTTTTAGCCAGTTCCATACAAAAAGCGCGCCGCGCCTCAGACGAGTTGTACTCACTGTTGTGGCGGGCCTTGAGCTGTACAAAGAACGAAATCTTTGAAAGGACAGCAGGATGCTGTTCTTCCAGTACTTCAAGGACCTGCGGCAACGATAGCACCAAAAGGAAAAAGCATTTCGACATCCAGATTAGTGGTGGTTCCAAGATACAAAAAAAGAACGAACTCACATTCTTTGCAAAAAATGTAGGCTTCACATTCACCTACGTTACTTGTACCTTTTTCGAAACACATTCAGGTTGAGTTTTGCATGTTGCCAATACCGGAACTAAACGAACAATATGCTGAACCGTAGAAGGCATATGGGTATACATGTCCGTACTAATCTCTAACGGTTTTGGCAGTTTACTGGAAATGAAGATGACTGATGGAATCTCGGTGCGCAATTTGCTAAATCTGTAAAGGATAAAATTTAGCCTTAACCCGACGTATAACAGCGACATGCAATAGTACGTACACGCATACATGTTTGCCGTACGGGGTACGCACGTTCTGAGCGAAAATGACCCAATAAAAATAAAAGGCATTCTTTTTTGTTTTCAAATACTGCCTTACCGATAGCAATTATCACACATTCAACTTATTTCTTGTACATGATTTCCTGTACCGCACGTTTTAGTGATTAGACAGACGCTAACCAGTTGCAAGGTTTTAGTACTGTCCTATATTTCAGCAACATACTTCTACATAACGAAAGTCTTATTACAACATTTGCCTTTTTTAAAGAGAAATTAGAGGATTACGCGCCCGTGAATATATTCACCCTAGTTACCTGAAATTTTCCTCCCTTAGAGCCTTGAGTTCCGTTTCAATATCATCACCATCGGACTCCTTGTCCAAGTTTTGTTGTTCTTGTGGCCCATAGAGTCGATCCGCGGCCTCATTGAGCAAAGAATACGCTGTCAGAGTGGCCCGACGTTCCTGTTTTGAATTTATTGTAACTAGAAACCCAAGACCGGTCCCACAATCGAGTAGATTTGATCGTTTTGCCCGTTTAGCGCCAGCTTGATTTCCTATATAATAGTTCTTCTTACGCTTTTTTGCGTCGTTGCCTGTAGCCTGGGCAGTACTCATGCTGTCGAGTTATCTTTAATAAGCGTTTGCCTACTGATAAATGATGCGTTCCTAGCTGAAATTAAGTTGAAGAAAATAACATCAGGTAAGTTGGAAAAAGATATCCTGGTCGTAATAAAAGTTACTTCCTTTTACACAAGTCGTGTAGCGCATATCCGTGGCATGGCTTGAAGCGGCGACTCCTGGATAGCCTTCTTTTAAGATTTTGTTTATTTTTTGTCATGTTTTTGCATGTATGTCCCCAGCCCAAACAAACAAATGTTTATATTAATTCTGTTTTCGATCACTGCTTAGAAACTAAAAGAAAAAACATGTGTACAGGCTGAAAAGATTATTTGATTATACAATCAACAACGCTATCGATCAAACGATTTTGCAGTAAATACCGTCCACTTATAATTGACATTTACTTATTTTACAGCGAAGTGAGTACCGTCTATCATAATAGTTGCACTCCAATTTAAAAATAGCACTGTAAAAGTAATAGATTTTATTTTAATGAAAAGAAGTTAGCGTTTTACGACTAAACACAATATGAATACGTTGTGGCATTTGCATGTTATAAAGTGTCTACGACTCCACACTTACCTTTAGTGGAACAACCGCGTTAAGGCAATAGAGGCAAATAAAATAATCTTAAAGTTTACAAAACTTCAATCATGAATTAATAATATAGGGTGACTAAACTTGATTAATACGATAAGGTTTTATTATCAATAATAATATTAGCACAAGTGAGGTTCTGATAACGTGGCTAATACACTTGTTAGTGTTATTGTTTTCACAGATGTGCCAGTAAATACAAGGCGAGAGAAATATGTTGTTTGCGGAGACTAAGGCGGTGGTTCGAATTTTTCGAAGATAGAAAGCGCGCCAAAGTCATGTTAGAAAAAATCGTCGACCCCAATATTCAGGGTGAAAGAACAACGAATACAAGAGAACTTTCGAAAATGTATCATGCGTATTTTCTCAATAGTCATGTTTTTGTGTAGAAAAATCTAAATCGTGCCTAGCGCAAGTTCTTTTAAAGGAGGCCGCTTATGGCCTAAGATGTTGGATCTTCTGAGTGCAAAGGTAGATCGCCTGAGTGTCAGTGTTTTGAGCAACTATCTGTGGGCTTAGACGCATAAGGCTCTAATAGTTCTTCTCCTGTACCTTTCTTTTTCCATGATTTAAAAAGCTATTTGACTATGCACGAACTGCAGGCATTGCTCTAGACGGCTGCCCCACTCAAACGTTTATGATGTGTCGACGCCCGATTTTGAACCTGTACCATCTGAAGCATCTCTACACTTATCAGACTACACCATTAGAGATTATGCATGCCGTTGTAACTTGTTATGCGCTAAGACTATTGTTAGCAAGTTGAAAGAATAATGACTAATAGAAAAAAGTTAACCTTCGTTCGAATATTCTTGCTGGGAATATTATATATATATATATATATATATCATTCTGTACATGAAGTAATTTAAACAAGAGAACGCTCCTATGGCATTGCCTAACATACCTTAGCATGTTTGTAAACTTTCTGGTAGAGAAACACGTAACTAACAAAATGGTAATATATGTGAGTGAAGAGGGAATGTGTTTGAGTAAACGAATTTTCTATTGTATTTTTGAGATTTGCTTGTTTTAAATGCTTATAATAATCCTGATGATTTCCCATGGTATTTTTTTCTTCAGACAGTAAATTTTCAAGCTACATATTCAAGTCAAGTACGTTAGAAGTATTGCTAGGAGAGTTTATACTCTTCAATTGTATACAAAACGCGTTTCTGCACTATCCGCGTTCTATCTTCCAATGTGATTGCAGTAACAAAAAATGCTGCGCAATTTAAAAACACGTTAGGTTATTTAGGTTCGAAACGTCCCATTATACAGGGTTATTTCGTGCTAAAAAATGAGCTAATAGTTTAAGGCAGTGCTTTAAAGCACTACCTGACATAAAGCTCGAAGCACTTTTGACCAGGACAAAGCCTAGGGCTACGGCCTTGTTCCCATTATAGGTTGTATGAAATGACGGGTTGTTGGTCGTCTCCTTCGTGTTTTGCCTATCTTGCTCTGCTTGTTTCTTTGAGCATTTGAATGCAAATCCAATGCCTATTTCGTAAGGAGAATCACTTGCTAAGATTGTTACTGAGAACTGATACTAGGGAATAAAACTCAATAGTAGGAAATTTCGAGGCCGACTATTTACAAAGGTAGATTTGGGCGGGATTGCTGTAGCAGCTTTTGTCCTTTCCTTTGTTGTCATTTTTGAAAATGAATGGTTATCTTGGATGCATTTTGGTGAGCTAAAAATGGTACTACTGTTGTGTAATTGAAGTTTCTTAGGTTTGAATTTCCCTCGATGTTTAGTTACAAGCAGCCAAGCGTAAAAATAAGTCAATAAGCCTCTATTTTAAATACTGGCCAATGCAAATGTATCTCTTTTATCATCAAAATTTAACATTCTAGAAATACAGGATTCTATGAATAGTTTTCAGAGCAGTTTTGTGAGATGCTTGCGACCTTGGCCCTCTTCACCGGATCATCATGCCTCCATATTCTGTACTATCTTTTAAAGCACTATTATCGTAGGTGCAGCCCCTTTAAAATTTGTTGATAGAGTGACTGACTGTGTCATACGTTGGAACGAACTTCCCAAAATAAAGCCCGAATTACTTTCTTATAATGTCCAACGCAAGTCTTTTATACAGACAGTTGTTTGTCTGCTATAACTGACCCTCAATTTACGTGTGCAGCAAAAGCCCGAAGTGGTAGTCGGAAAAAAAACCTTGGTTACATGCATATTGCGCAACCTAATGCACCAAGACATTTCAGGTCAAATATGATATTACGCTGTCAGATTATTGGAAAACAACAAAGCGTTGAGTTGATGCACCGGCCATTTTAGCTGTTCAATCATATCAAAGAAGGGATTTGCACAGACCTCCAGGTTTGTTATATCAGACCCCATTCACTATCGTGATTTCTTCTTGTCGCAAGTCCCCGCATGTCGAGGAAAATGTCCATCTTTGTTGGAAATGCTAACGATGTGCTTTTTTTGCTCATTGATATCGATCAAAAAATGCTAAACATAGCACGTCGATGCAATGTAGATCTTTGAAAAGCAAAATAATAATAATAATAATAGCCCAATGAATGTGTAAAGGATAAGCGGCGATTACTGTACCAGGTGGAAGGTCCTTGATATGATTTTCATTATATTCGGGATATAATCCTATTTTTTTTTTTTTTTGTAGAAACCTGCTTGCTATTAAAATATAATAATCAGCTGACGGTGTTAGCCGAAAGAAGAACACAAAATTAGTTTGCAGGGACACAGTCAGCACATCATATATTTATTATTGTTCTTTCTATCGTTCGATTTTGTATAGCCCTTCTTGCAGAAATTGAGGTTAGTTTTTTTTTTTTTTTTTTTTTTTTTGCAAGTATATGAACCTTATTTTTGCCGGACTTTTTCTATTGCAACCGCGTGTAGCTCAGCGAGAAATTTTCTGCCTTCGCTCATGGTACCGTGCAGGAAATATATCGTTATCACTCACAGCATACAAGACTATCGGTTTTAATAAGACCAATAGATCGTTTCACTGACCCCATGCAATTGCGTCGATTACTGTAGTTGCATACAGCTGGAAATCAATAGGAAATAAATTCTACAACCGGCAAATGTATGGCAGCCAAGGCACAATAGGACATTTTCATTTACCGCTGATGGCTCTTTGTTGTCCGACGGGAACAATAGAGCAATTAGCAAATGGTAGCGAAAGTCATCGTTATGGTATCTATATAAACATATAATCAATCATTGATCATATAATCGATAGTCCAGTTCGCACGTTCAGCAAACATGCGCATAAAGGTGCCCCTAGGGAACTCGAAAAATTTAATGTAATTTACTACTTTCTATAACTCCTACCCTTTAATGCGGTATTTGATTACATCTGTCATATAGTATCCTCTTGGCAGAACCCATACTATCATCTATTATAGTATAATGGCCTAGAAAACGTCTTGGTTATTTCCTCTTCGTTCGGGGGGCAATGGACAGGCGCTATTTAGTTTGCTGCGTTAACATTGGTGTACGCATGAAAATCTCGTTTGTATTTTATTTATTCTTGGGTGTTTTTGAGAACATAGTACACTGCTTCAGTTATTTAGAAGAACACTCGTGCGAGTCTTAAAGGAGTTAAACATGCGGGCGCAGTAGACACGCGGGAAAACAGCTGTAGTGTATTTGGTTAGTGGCAAGATTTCCTATTGCCGTAAGGATAACTTCTGTTAAGAAAATAATGATGAAACGATTTTATAGAAATTTCTATAGGATAAAATAAGTACATAGCGTCAACAGGATAAAACGAGCCGTTCACTTACTGACAACAATAACATTTCTTTAGGCGGTTGTTTGATTGGCTACTTTCTCTTTCAGCTAGATAATCGGAAGAAATCAGGGGTTTCTGCTTCAAGATCCGCTAACGGTGCTATACAAGTTACGTGAGTAACGAAGGCTGAGTTATTGGCACGGATTTTGTAAGATCAAGTCAGTTATTTATACCTGAGTTAGGGCCTCCACGAATGGTCTAATTAATGACAAATCTGAGCTGTCCGTTTTCGACATCGAGCTCGATAGCAACACTTGTACAGCGTCAGTGCCGACCAGGACACGAGCCCAATGAATGCTTTAATTGTCATCTTATTTTTTTTTTGGTGCTTCCTGTGATAAGTCGCCAATTCGCCTTGAGGCAGCACTACCTCTGTTTTTGTTGTACAATGAGTATTCATGCAGGACTAACGTTATGCATTTAATGGTGCTACTGGAAAAGAAAACTATTTTTTTACTTGCCACTGATGGATCATTTTCAGCCAAGTAGAATATTTCATTAAAGGGCAAATATGTACAATAATATGAGAAAGGTTTTATGGAATGCCTAAGCTCCCAGTGAGAGGTGGCAATCGCATCTTTATATTGTAGTCTCAGGCACGTCTATGCATCTACGTGCCGAATGACGACTCCACAAACGACTCAACAACGCCATTCAACTGAAATCTAGCGGAGAGAACTCGATTCACAAGAAAATGTTTGCCTTTCGTCGTCGAAACCAGAGACAGAGGAGGCTTTGGATATAGAGGCTGGGGTTCAGACGCGTACGTCGATGCTCACTTGCTGATCTTCAAACGGGGCTAATTCACTCGTGTTGCTATTCCCCATAAAGCATCGGCAGTAAATATAGCTACTGATCGAACGTGAACAGTCTCGTAGATCGGTGGCCTGTGTCGAATGAGGATTACGTTAAGGGGCCTTGGCCGTGGTGCGGCGTCCGTTAGGATGAAATCTGTAGCTTAGCACTCGATATAGTGGCGTACCGGCGTATATAGGTACTCATTCAGTGAGTACTATCGGTATTAGACCGAACAGCATTCATTCAACGGCCACCTTTGACGAGTATTCTGGTTGAGCTCGTCGGGCCCCATCGAATTGCAATGGTGTCATGATAGACGAGGAAATCCATACTGTATTGTACCCTGTATTCGATTTGGTATGGTGGATAAACTAGATAAATGGAGGTAAATAAATATACGGCTCAATCAGGTTTGTATTTAATACAACATAAATGAAAGCAATGATACTTCATACATCAGATAATTGGCATCTTACATTAATTAATTACTATGGCGATCGTTTTTCGTCTATCGGCAACAACAATGGAAGACGAATGGGCTTTACTGCTATGTCCATTGGCAATGGTTGCTTCGACGCAA